TTTTTTTAGTGAAATTTAACCGATCTTTTTCAATGCAGTCAAAAACCTTGAGGCGTACGCGGGAGTTCTGTTCCGGTTACGGACTGACTGCCGAGATCCCCAGATTGAAAGTGAGAAGCATTCAACGAATCGCAAGGATCACATGAATCTGGGATCTGAGGTGGCTCATAGAGGGATTCAACTGCAAATAATTAAGTAAAAAAATAATTATTAATTTTGTTAATTATAATCAATCGTAAGCTTTAAACAAAACTATAGTTAATGAGATCGACGATAAATACTTACAGCCATCAACAATACATGGCCAGTTTTGTTCATCCAGACCGCCTCCGTAGTTGGGATCCATAAATTACTTTTTTGTAAAATGACTCTAAGATTATTGCGCTTGAACCAGAGATGGGAAAGATGGGTGAGTAAGGAAGAAGGTAAGGCAAGGGGTTTGAATAAAGGGTGGTTTATATTGCACACGTGTCCTGAAGTGACCTACGTGATCTCGATCGATTCTCGCTCTTCGTTGACTTTGATTCTCTTTTTTTGTGGGGTAAAATTCATTGACGTTTCTTCACCTGCAGAGAATCGTTCGATTATTATTATTTTTTTATTTTTTATTTTACAAATTATTTCTTTTTGTTTTTAGTAAGGGTTAAATCTCAAATATGCCCTTAATTCATACAAAATGGACATTTTCTCTTGTATTAAACAAAGGAAATTGGGATGTACCAAAAAATTAAAGGAAATTGAGGAGGGTAGTTAACCAGTTGTTGTCCCCTCCTCCCAGCCAATGAAGGACGGGGGGGCAGCCGCCCTCCCTAAACTTCTGAAACATACTTAATATGGTGTACTCTAACATTTTTTTTTTTTGACAAGGGTAATAGTTAGGAAGTTAATAGAGTTAAATATTAGCAACTGGAACTTCCCAGAATGGTGAACATTCCACTTATCAAATGAGGCGCGCGACCATTAAGTCGCAAGTTGGTGGAGGTGTACTCTAACATTTATTTGTTAAAAATTTGGTTTTTGTAATATGAATTTCAAGAATAATTTCAAATGTAGAGGAAATATTTAGAATTTAAATAAAAAGTTTTCAAAAAGTAAGGATATGATTTAAATAAAATAAACTTTATGATAGTTTTATTAATTAGGAATTGGGGTTTTTAAACACTTTTTTATTTATTAAACTTCTAAAAAGAAAATTTTGATTCTCTATTTACTTAACTTTAAATTTACAATTTTCTTTAGTATTCTTTATTTTCTTTTTTAATATTTAATATAATAATTTAAAGTTTTTTTATGAAATTTAAGTACATTTTTATCTTTCATGATTGAATTTATATTTTTTTTGTGCTAAATAAATCAAAATTAGAGTTCACTTTTTAAAAGAAATACTCTAATATGTTTTAATATTCCAATGTTTTCTTCTAATATTAGTATTTATTAACACGATCTTCAAAAAATTAAGAGGAAAATATCTAAA